AAAAAAGAAAATAGTTAAAAACCTCCTGTCTCTCTTATCTAGTTTTCACTCCTTTTTGGTTTTGTTATACCCCAATTAAAAACGGGATACCAGGAATGCTTTGATGAAGTCTTGTGTGACTAGCATGTGACATACAATGTATATAATGTTTCACGAAGGTTGTAGCGAAGGCGAAGTCTTTGGGTGCCCAGGAGGCGCACTACGTGGCCGGGGACATGGGGAAGGCGGAGGACTGTGAGAGAACCATTCAAGCAGCCAGGGACAAATTCGGTACGGCCGGGCGTGGATGTTAAGATGAGATTGAACCACGACGTATTTTGCCTCACAATCAAAGCATATTCGTGGTTTATATTTTATTGATAACATATATCTGAAATACCATATAAATATATATTTTTATATATACAATAATGACTGTTTTGAAACTGCTATAACCATACAGGTGTTTTCTATCTCCATGGTATAACCAAGGGGGTTCAAAAAGCTCCCAGGTATAACCATGGAGGTTTAACTTGTTTTGTGTGTTCTCACAGTTGAGTGATGGCACACTTTTTTTCTATAATGTGGTAACAATAGCCTGGGTTGTAACATTACGATTATAACACTCCTGGCTATCTAATAATTGGTTTACAGCTCCCTCCGTGCAAGTTTCTAACTAAATGTAGAAGTCCTAATGGTGGAAATAAGATACCGGTGTACTCTTGTTTTAAATTACTGGAGGTTGTCGTGGATGGGGGAATTTCCTAACCCCAGACCACAAAAGGTCAGACACAGGAAGTTAGATCCAAGAAGATGGCCGGGATCCAGCAGGAAGTCGACTGTAAATTGACCGGGTACCAGTGGGAAAATGCATAGACAAAGAATTTTACAACAACGAATAAAGGAAGAAATTCACAAAATCTCTAAAATTCTATGAAGGGGATTTCTTGTTTACTTTAATTTTTCGTTCATCATTGATTTCTTTCAGGACGTCTTGACTATCTAGTCCGGCTCAAATGTCAAGAACATTCACGAGATGTTTGGAAAGACGTCTTGGGACCAGGACCCTGATATGGACTTCTTCCAGGACTACTTGCAGGTGAACCTGGTGAGTTACGTCCGGCTGGCCTCCCTGGCCCTGCCTCTGCTGAAGGAGAGTAGCGGACACATCGTGGCCGTGTCGGGTGTGCATGGTAAGGGATTTCAATCGTTATATGTTACCTCCGTGTAATGAAATATCCTTATGCTTAGGTCACATTTCCAAACCGGGGCCCGGCCGGGCTGTTTGTATGAACGGAAAATTAACAATCCACATCAAGAGTGTATAGATACAGTGCCCATGATTATCACCAAAGACGTTTCTGTGTTTTGTTGTCTTTTATATCGTACTTTTCGTTCCCAAAAAGCTGCCCGGCCTGGCCCCGGTTTGGAAATGTGACCTCAGCATTACGTGCGAAGGTACTGTTTTCGGCCGTATTTGTGTGTTCGCAGCGGTAACTCACAGTGGGTTGGACGGATTTCTTCCATCAACACTTCGTGTAATTGAACAGTCCCTATAAGACTGTTTTTTTGGCGACGTCTCGGGGAGGAGCCTAATGGTACAGTATTGTGTGCAGTTTGCAAGGATTCTAGGAATGCTATAGGCATTTTGTCCACAGGAATGGAATGTCCACAGGCATTTCTCTGACCCACATCTATGGCCACATTCCTGGAAATCCTTGGGAAGACCTCTGCCCCGGATGGCCCTACTTTCTGTGACCCCGGGGCTCGTTCACTATACACTCAGGGGAGGAGTGCACTGTATCTGTCTAGACTTAACAGGTATCGAGTCTTCCTCAAAATCATGAAATGATGGCAGTGCCATGCAAACAATAACCCTAACAGCAACCACCGTCGCCATGGCAATGTATGTTTTCATTGCCAGTCTTGTTACATGTACTCCCACCATTGATTCTTCTCTCAGTTATCTAAACCGATAAGTACATTGTATGCAGATTGTTTACTAAATCATAGTCCCACGAGACTTACGATTGTCCCCTATGTATAGTTAAATCTCCAAGCAGATCTTTTCGTAGCTACAAGACAGTATCAGATTTCTAGATTAGTATCCAGTAGTCATCGCAAGCTGGCAAGAAAAAGATGCGATATCGACAATACAGAAGTCCTTAGAAGGTTTTTAAAGAAATAAACCAAAGCCTTACATATAAAACTCTTGTTGGAAGTAATTATTGATATACATTTGCGTTAAATGTTGCTTATATACGTTTTATTCGTTTTGAGCGTACCTGAAAAATTATGACACGTTCGAATATGACATCGACGGGTTAGCGATATGGCATCGACCGCTTCAAATGGCAACGACAGAACACAAGACAGAGATTCAGCCTTTTAATTATTTTTATTTATGAATTACCACATTAGTGGAATGATTGACATACCAGACTGTAAAGTTTGAACTATTTTCGATAAGTGTGTTGGGTTCTTTAACGTGCGTGGGGTGTGACTCTCACAAACACTGGACCTTCATTTTACGTCCTATCCGAGGGAAGTCCCTAACCGAAGCTAGGTACTCATTTACACCTGAGTAAGGCGAGGAAAGTCGTGCCCTTGTGCTTTTCCCAATAGCACAAGATCGGTGGCATCGGGCAGGATTCGAGGGTTCGAGGAGCCGAACACACTACCACTTCGCCACACGACTACACAAAAACCTCACTTGTGTTTCCGTAGGAAAGGTTCCGTTTCCCACCCTGGCCTGGGGCTCGGCGGTGAAGTTCGCCGTTGACGGGTTCTTCAGCTCCCTCCGTGTGGAACTGATGAAGGCCGGACAGGACGTGTCCGTCAGCCTGCCGATACTCGGCTTCATCAGGACGCCGATGGCGGAGAAAATGTATGAGGTATGGTCAAACGAGGAGGGTCAAAGGACCAAAGAACGGTCGGAAATAATTTTCTTTTTCGTTTACTTATTGATTCATTACAAATGCATACGCGGGGGAAAAGTTGCGTCCCACCCTGAATTGTAAGCATTTCATGACATCTTTTAATCGCAAGTTTTAATAAAAAGACAATAGAAGTTTGATTCTAATGATGAATTTTACTAAGTAAAGTTTTGTCATATTTGTACTCAACAGAGCTTGTAAGGGATACTGAGTTCATTCACTCATTGTGATATTGGATTACAATACTAGTACGTAGCAAGTGTCAGGACAGAGCTGGAGGGTCTGGTCACGATATTTATGAATGTATTTGAGTAAAAGATTATGTAGAGCAATAGTCTTAGGTTAGACCATGTGAAGGTAAACATTGTGCATTTGTTTTACAAATGTTACCCTTCCAACCTTTCTAGTCTATTCATTCTTCCAGAAAAGAGAGGACGGACAGGAGATGTTAAAGATGGCGGCGCCCATGAACCAGACAGCCCTGGCCATCATCCGGGGAGGGGCGACCGGAGCCCGCGAGGTCTACTACCCGGCAGCCATGACCTGGACCCTGGCGACACTCAGAGCCTTCGTTCCTAACTTTGTAGACACCATCCTCATGAAAATGGAAGTGTAGGTGGTCATTCTGAAGAATACTTTTTTTGATTAATTCTTTAATTAAAAAAAAAGGTCGAAACAGTTGTGTGTCTGTCATCATCCTTCTGACGCCTATTCGACAAAGGAGCTGTAGATGTCCAATGACTTAATAAGGGGTTTACTTAATTGTTTTAATTTAGGCCACAGCAAGTCAATTTTACGGATGACATTCTTCTCAGACTCAAATATAATGCGATATGGTGCAACATTTGTAGAAAAGATAATTCATACACATATGATGAAGCATCTTATGCTGTCTGCATTTGCCATCAAATACGAGCAATTGTGCGTTTTTTAATACAAAATCAGGCGAAAATCACTGGGAGCGCCGATGTTACCCATCAGAATTAATTGCTGTGACCTCACTACATAATTAAATTTTCTTGGCATTTTCACTACAAACGCTAATGCTTCGGTCCCAATTGGGAAAAGGGGCCCTGGCGGGTAGTT